AATTATGATAAAATAATTTACTTCTATTCCATGAAATATGTATCGTTTTCTTTAAAATGTCAAAAGATTATTGGATATTATTATACTGGTATTATCTGTATCTACTATTGGTATGCAGTAAATAACATATCTGATAACGATTCGTATTTTTTTCAGCATTGTATAGTCTTAATAAAATTAAACTAGTATTTTTACGACAACTAATTTAGAAACCTAACTATTTTCCATCAGATAACATTATTTGTTATTTCAAGTCGTATAGAAAAAAAATTAGAGTGTACTTGTACTCGTGCCTACTATAATCATAGAGTTGTAAGTTTTTTATATGCAACTTGCAGAATGATTAACAAGTTATGTTGATGTAGAAGAAACTTAGACCTCATCAACGGTCTCTTTGCGATCAGGAATACGTATTTCCCTCCGTATCATGTTATATAATATATATTTATATTTACAGCATGTAAACAAATGAGATACAATTTATTTGATAGCGTAATTTTCCCCTATAATAGAACAACTAGTATAGCACTCAAGCCCTCTAGCGTTAGGGCCAAATTGGTAGTGCAAACATGAACCAATGTGATACTTACTGTAGCATTTGTTTATTTACCAAACCACCAAATGAACGGTAAATAATGTGATCTCTCCCTTACATTTACGCACACAGAGTCAAATGTAAACAAACCTTCGTTGTTACATAATTACGTAGTAGTAACGTTTGTGAACAATCACTCCCAAAATTAAATTAGCGACATCTATTCGTATTTCAAAGGTTTCAATTTGATATCTGTGACAAGGGGACCAAAATAAGGTGAATTGTATTACCGGTCAAATTTACAGTTAACGTCACTCTTTGTCGTCTTCAATTTAATGCTATTCGAATAAATGTTGGGATTGGACTAAAAAGATGTGATGTGACAGTCACAAAAATCTTTTTTTTTTGTTTTTTTTTTCATTAGTTTTTTTCTTTTTAAAGTTCTGAACTGGTTTTAATATACTTTCTACAATTGATAGAGTTTACACACATTTTAATCCCATATTAATATTTTAATGAATGAAGCTACCATTTTTCTTTGCTGATTTATATACACAACTTCGTATTTTAAATTTAAATATTTTTTCTATTCTATAAAACATCACCTCGGTAATGAGTGTGTTTTGTTTCGATTAAAAAGGCTGTTCTGTTGATAGGTAACATGTTATTTACTAATATTTATCAAGCCGTTTTGGCAATATGTTGGAGATATGGTATATGTGTGAAAAACACTGACGTAATTTTTTTACAGTCGAGTAAAAGTGTAAGTGAAATTTTCCAAAAAGGTTTTAATTGAAATGAACAAAAACATGTTCATTAGGTTAGATATATTTTAGCAAAATTGGTATTTTCTAGAAAGTACTAATTATACTACTGGGTATTTTCTATTTATTACTTCTTAGCAGAATAAATAAAGATAATTATAAAAAAAATATTATATTATTTGATATTTGCAATAAAACAATTATACATGAGGCTTACAAATAGGATCATTATAAAGGTAGAAGTGAAAAATTTCAGTGTTAATTGTAGGTGACAGTAGTATTAGAATGTCTGTAATATTCTCGTTGATTTTTGAAATTCGAACTCATTTTTTCTAAGATAAATAAACCCACCCAAGGCAAGACGTGACGGGTTGCATATCAAACGCGAACTCGAGGATAAAAGCAATTTAAATGGAATATATTTTGTATCCCATAACCGGTAAAAGCTCGGTGTGGAAGGTTGTGCGTGATTCCGTCACGCGGCTTGTTAGCGACGTGATCGCTTGGTAATGAGAGCCGTGATGGCTGAGCCACCTCGTGCGACATACTAAGCATTACCAGGAAACGCCTAAACCATTCGTGGGAGTCATCCAATTTCGGCACCTTCGGATTAAATTGCCCGTATCGAAGAGGGATTCCACAATGCCATTAATGTCCATTCACTGAATTTAAGTTCAGTAATCTTTACTTATTCTTATACCTCATAAATAAGTAACGAAGTTGCAAGTAATAACTCATATTAAGTTATTAGATTTTACTCGATTTAAAAAAAAAAAAAACCGTTCGAAGTCGTTAATAATAATTTTTAATATTCTCGAAAACATCATTGAATGAGATAAAAAGCCACTATGTCTTTTTTCATATTAAACACATGTATTTTAATTTTCAAAAAATTTGTTGAGACGTTGTGGTGTCAAAGATGACAAATAAAATAGATTTACTTCTATTTTATTTGTTTTGAATTGTAGTCATATTAACATTTTTAATTTTAAGAATTACGTAAGTACTATTAAATTACAAAAGGAAGTGTGTTAAGTCTTTTGTTTGATCATAATTGCGAAATGGTATCTACTCGAAATTCGAAGCCGATGAAATATTGAGTACAACTTAATAATAATTAAAATATCATGTGAATAAAGTCATGTGGTTGTTCCGTTTCATTGTTGTAGTATATTGATAACTTTGTAATTATTTCTCATTTTATATTATTCAATAGATACATGTCTTCGTGTTCTTTTATTATTTGATGGTTCTAATTTACTTTGATTTGAATTTAAAGTTATATAATGCTAGTGGGAATGGCAAATTACATGAAATTAGTACGTCTATTAATTTGATATTCTATTTAAGAGTTTCTATTTTTTATACTTTTATTTATTTATATATATTTCTTTATATACTTTGTTCATATATTCTTCTGTATATGTTTGCAGTTTAATATTATAATTGGTCTAATAATAAATATTTATAAAATATAATATAAAATAATAAATAATAAAAATTTGGTGTTAATTAACATCGGTACAATGCAACGATATGAATGAAATCACGCCAGTTGACTCATCGTGTCGAATTCATCAGGAATTAACGATGATGATTTTCAGAGTATTGCGGGGAAGTGGGAGGAGAAGGACCTTACAAGATTTATTGCTCATTAATTGTAATGAGGTATCTCATTATCGACTTACAAACTCTCCGATGATTACATCGGAGTAATCATATGTAGTAAAGAATCGAAATAACTTATTATCAAGTTTATCTAGTTTGTTTACATATTTCAATAAATTTGAACATGAAGCTTTGGAGCTTGAAGATTGTAATGTGAGATGTACATAAATAATCTTGTTTTAGTGATCATAATACAGTTATTTATATAATTATTATATGTAGGTATTTAAAAAAAATATTACAATATAAAGTCATACTGGTACTGCTCATGTCATTAGGCGACCGTTACCACTTTCCATCAGGTGAACTATCAGCCTATTTGCCATTTTAAGTTGTATAAAAAAATATTAAGTCATAAAGAATTATTTTAGTTTTACTTTATTACCTTAGTTTTACCCATTATTTGACACGATAAGGTATTTACCAATCATTATCAATAACATCACCGAGATATTACAGTTTCATAATCTTATCACAACTAGTAGTTTGGCTCGCGCTCGTTAATTGTGCTTTGTGATAAAAACTGACATCATTCTGAAATACCTGATTATGTAGGTGGTTATGACTCATCTCAATTTTCATTTGTCATTATGATGAAATGAAGGTTGTGGGTCTAGTTTTCATCCTATTTTTGTTACACATGCAATTCACTTTGTTTTTGTTTTTTTTTTTAGTATGATTATAATATAATGTACATATCTCTTCAACGTCGGCAGTTCTCAAATACTTAGGTTTTATCGTATAATTGAGTACTAACTTTAATCATTTCTGTTAACAAGAACTGGTTAAAAAGTCCTCTTAAGATTTCACTCTGAAATATTAGTGCCGTATGTTCATGAATTCATTGATTTGATAAACATTATGCTACGAGTGTAGATAAATTTGACGCTGATTTAGAAACATAACAAAATATGTAAATACATGGCAACTATACGTAAATCCCATGTAGTCATACCGAATCCAATTCCGAAGACTTAAAAGGATAAAATGACACTAATATATCATTTACGTGACCAATTTCAACTGAACAACGAGTTAACCTCTACTTAAATTTCTTTGAAACACGTCAAAGTTCAAATGCTCGTTTTGAATTCTTATTAGACTATCATCATACGATCCATGCAATTTATCATCATCAGAATGACAACCATAATTAACTTGGCCTTACCTTGTACACTGGCTTTTATGGGTTACGATCCAATTTAAAGAAATTGGTGTTTCACCACTGATAAACGTGACGAATTTCCTAATATTGTTTTTCATGACTACTGCGTCAAAGGAAGATTATGATGTAATAGTATAAATATGTATTTTTTTTTATTTCCTCGTAATTCCTCTTAATTCAATAAGTAGATTTATATTTATGGTAAATAATTAAATATCATATGACGTGTTTCAAATCTGGACATCGTGGTCTAAGATATGAAAGCCAATGCTCTCTTCATGATAGATGTTAAAGTGGAGGAAGTTGAGTCGGAAGAAGACGCTGGCAAAAGCCGGGGTTAATAATGCCAAGTAGAAGAAAAAGATGATTTATCTCAAATACTCTGCGTGCTATGAGACCTTTTTTTATATGTTTAATGTGGAAATTTAATAAGGTTTTTACCTATATACACATTACATAATTAATTGAATTCAACCCCTATTTTAGGTGTTTACTGTAAATGTTTGTAATAATTAAGTATATAGATATACTACATTTAATCCGCGACTTTGTCGAGTGAAAGGTATCTGGTATATTATATCAAGTTTCGCTTAAATTTTTTCAGTTATATTGGTAAGAACTTAATCATTATATTAAGGAATTTAGGTTTTTTCTACTATGGTTTTTCCTAGTGAATTCAGTATGGAGTTCATCAAAATGGATGTAATAAGGTTTCTTAAGGGTCAAGAACGTGTGCGTGACATCCCTGGTATTACAGGTGTCCGTAGATTACGGTAACCCCTTTCACCATCATTTGGGCCGTATATGTCATCATAATAGCATAAAAATAAAAAAAATATTACAGGAATTTATTTTCTTTTTTTACCAGGAAGAAGAGGCGAAGCTTCCAGTAGTGCCTAAATGCTGCGCGAGCGGGCAAAACATCAGCGTAACAGTGGACTCTCAGGGTGCAATGAAGTCTATATGCGCACGGACCACACTGACCTTTCAGCCCCTCTTCTACAAGTCCAACGACTCCTTCATGTGGAGTTTCGATACTAATGTCTACGAGACAATCGTCGGCAACCCTTGCATCTACGACAGGTCTTGTGAATATGTACTGTTTTTAACTAACGCCAATTTTTACAGTATGACTTTTTGAATGATAATGGAATGGCAACTTCGCCTAAGCTGTTTAATCTTACTGGATGATGTCTATACATAGAAAATACTTAAGAAAAAAATATATGAAATGTCTTAATAAGATTAATAGAAGCTTAAATAACAATTGCTAAGAATTTAGTCTATCTGTCTGTCTGTTTGTTTGTATGTATGTTTGTTCCAGCATCACGCAAAAACTGCCGCACCAAAGTGTGTATGTAGCTTCAAACTTGTGTTTCTGAAGGTCTATATATATATATATATATATATATATATATATATATATATATATATATATATATATATATATATATATATATATATATATATATATATATATATATATATATATATATATATATATATATATCTATCTATATCATTTAGATACAGTTATTTAAGCAAGCAAAGTTGCTCGCTAGTTTTGCTATTATAAAAAAATAATTATAAAAATCTTATTTACAGATACAAGTTGGAACCAGATAAGATAAGCACAGATGAGTTTTATTTATTAGTGAACGGTTCGCTCTTCCTCCCCTTTGGTAGGCCCATACTACTCGGGAACAGGGAGTTTTGTATGGAGACATTCTGGAATGAGTCTAATCCGGCCGGTGTTACATTACCGTTGGTTTGCTTTACAACTGACGCCGCAGATACTAGCGGTAACGTTACGTTGAGTGTTTACGCTACAGGTGAGACACTTTAATGTCTTGTATAGTTAAATTAATAGATCTTAATGAAAATGTAAGCAAGTTTATCATAGAAACTTTAACTCAATCCTTTCCTCTTCACTGTACGTATCGGACATCATCTATAAATGCATTACCAGTGAGGTTTGTCGTCAGGTAGGAAACCGACTGTAAAATAAAAAAAAAAAACAAATCCAACACTTTGTGTAATATGAATAAAATTATAATATGCCGACCCAAATGATTGGGATAAGAGTAGAAAGATGATGCCGATGTGATATCGGCATCATCTTTCTAAATACAAGGAACAGATACAAAGGAACACTTTGTAAATAAAATTAGTAATATATTAAATCAATTAATCGATTTTTTATTGATATTAACTTCTATTGGATATGTCGGGTCAATTATTTGTTTTCATTAAGTTGTATGTACATTTCAATATCTCAAACTTGAATTTATCTAATATTTGGCTCGTTTTATATACGCCTTCTTATAGACACCTGTGTACCTGGGCCTTTAATAACTCTTTTTTTTTTATTTATTACGAATTACTTTAGACTAAAACACAAAATGGTCAAAGTTAGTGAAAAATAAATAATTGTCCTTAGGCGTATTTAGAGGGAGACCAGATAGGCTGTGCTCAACCCAAAATCGTCTGCTACCTACCTCATTGTGCAAACAAAGCTTCGCAAATTTATATCTGAGAGTATATATATTCCAGGACCACCCTGGAAAATAATCATAAATATGCCAATGTAGTTATCTATTGAGTGGCAACCGTACACAGAATGCGAATTATATAAACGTTTTTCGTTCAACGAAGGTCTTTTTAAGCTCTCTGCTTGTAATAACTAAATTATACCTGACAAGCCAAGGTATTGCTTTATTGCGGCTTGAAAATGAATTTTGTTTGCCTCCAGCTACACACACGCTCTCGTTTCTGTTATAGATTAAGGCTCATGTTGTATTAATGCTAGGAGGAGGCCTCGGCTCTTATGCTAAAACTTAGAAACGCGGGATGGTTATAACATAACAATATAATTTGATATTCTATAAGGTAAATTATAGTGCTGTGCGTAAACTGTACTCTCGGTCTACAGTTAGTGATAGGTAGATGAAGTGACGATATGCCACATTGTTTTACATCCCAATGGTGGTGGGTTCGGTTCGTGTAAATATTTTTATTCATGAGTATGTCTTTTTTATTTATAAAGTGAGTTTAATGACGCTCAATATAATGGTATGTACCAAGCAGTAACCATGTGATACTTAGTATTTATTACTATACTCAACAAATTTCTTTTTAAGCCACATTTTTTAATTCCGACTAATCTTATATATATATATATATATATATATATATATATATATATATATATATATATATATATATATATATATATATATATATAATCTTCTCGACAAATAAGCTATCTGGACTAAGTACGTTTACCATGAAAAGAATGTTTTCAAATGGCAAATTTTATTATATATATATATATATATATATATATATATATATATATATATATATATATATATATATATATATATATATATATATATATATATATATATATATATATATATAATTTAGTCGTCATCATCGTACATTTAGAACAAGTATTCTTTGAGATTCTATTTTATGGTCAGCATACATTTATTAATTAAAAAATATTTTTAATAATTATATTTTTAATAAAATAAAATTGTTTCTTTTAGGGTTGTTAATATCGGTGCCGTTTTTATTAGCCACGGCATTTATTTTCGTATACATCACCAAACTGAGAGATACTCACGGCAAAGCCCTGGCATGCCATTCGACCTGCTTAGCGGTCGCTTTCCTCTGTTTGGCCGCGACTCAATTGGCTGGACATGCATTCCCAGTTACTATTTGCACTATTATGGGTAAGTCGCTTTGAATTCTATTACATACATACATTTTATTGTAGATGTTGTCTTATATAAATTTGTGACGAGAAATTGACTTCAATTTTAATATTATTCGACCAAATCAACAGCAGTAACAACAGCTCTTTCTATTTTATAAAAAAAACATCATTAAAATTATTTTAGAATTAACATACATATGCGGTTGAAATTATATGTATACGAATCAAATTACACTACTTAAAAATAAATTTGTTTTATCTATAAAGTTGTAATTTTTTATGCAACTTATGATATGATTTAGAAAGTATTGTCAATGTATTTTTTATTTACTTGTATTTTCAATCAAATGCTACATTTGACCTATAAACATATTATATCTTTATTAAATTTTGTAATAAAAAAACAGTAAATTAAGAAATACGACTGTGATTATGTCTAGCTACTTAAACGTACTGATAAGTTATACTCTTCTTACATTTTGTTTTTGTTTTCAGCATATTTGATCCAGTTTTCGTTCGTCTCATGTTTTTTCTGGCTGAACGTCATGTGTTTCGATACATATTTAAATGTTAGGTAAGTTATTTTTATTAAATACTAACTTTCATCCTTGTGACTGGATTCACTGTTCTCACGGAATAAAAAGTCTATGCCTTTCTTTATTACATTTAGTACTTGTATACCAAATTTCATAGTGATCGGTTAAGCTGTTAAGGCACCAAGAGGTAGCAAACAAAGAAACTCACTTTCACATTCATAATATCAGTAAGGATTTATGAATACATTTTTATTAAATTATTAAAATTCAAAATTTTCGCATGGCCTAGTTGTATTTTACTAGATGTTACCCTCCTTCTAAATATGGGGACAGCTCACACAATCATATCATAACAAATCCACAAGAATAAATAAAACGACATTCATATAATTTCCTTTGTGTATACGGCAATGCCGCCAGAATGTACCCTTTTTCCCTACAAAGCCCCCATAGGTTGGTAGGGTTGTCACAAATTCATTCGCATTTGACAAATAATTTTATGATATGACGCGGTTCACGCAACACACGTACGAGTGAGCGAGACGTATGCTCTCATTGCGATGTATGTTGTCGGCAAGCCCTGGCTGATTTAATATTTAAAAAGAAACAGGTTATTAATGGGCAAACGAAATTATTAGTATTACATCTATAATTATAATTATATCGTAATTATTAGTTGAGTGTCATTGGTATCTGAATATTTATTCTTGTGTAAAATAATTGTATGGCCGTGTGGTCCCGGTAAAAGAATAAGCCACACCTTCCTTTCCCGTGGGTGTCGTAAGTGACGACAAAGGGAGGGCGAGGGATAGGCAGTAGCTCCCTCTTAACATCTCTTAAGCCTGACTGTGGTTGCCAATCCGCCTGCCAAGTGTGGCAACTACTGGAAAAATCCCTCAAGGGGGAGACCTATATTCAGCAGTGAACAGTTGCTATGATATGATGATGATGAAGAAAATAATTGTATTCTGTCGATTTACTATTCGAACAATCTTATTTTATTCAAGGTTTAATCTACTGCTATATGAATAAAATTGTTCACAGACGATTTCTTGCAAGCACGACAGTATCGAGGCGAAGTATGAGACGACGGTTTGCGTGCTACTGCGTATATGCAGTAGTCCTACCCCTGGTGTTACTTATAGTGACGGTTACTATGGACTTATCTCCAGCTGTTCCTAGTACATACCTTAAGCCCGATTTTGGAGTTAAGGGCTGTTGGTTTAAAAGTAAGTTTGTTCAATAATGTTTGCCTTAATTATTTATACAAATCGAATTATTCGTAAATGATGAGTATGTTATATCTGTTTAAGAATATATGAAAAAGGGATGGAAGTAAGGTTTTGGTAATTTAATAAATATTAAATATTTATATTAATTATAATAATATTTAAAACGATGTTTTTTTTTGGAATTTTTGTCGATTTCAAACAATTTCTTGCCATATAAAATATACAAACAAAATACGATTATTTTTTCTTAGAACGTGTTAAAAAGGTGGCCAGTCAGATAGCGAGGTATTGCCAGTATAAAATATCAGTTTGATGGCATTGTATATTAAAAGTTGAATTGGTGATCATTTTTTCATATATAAAACTTACGAAATTATTTCTTTTTAGCGGACCAGGCTGCGTTACCATACTTTTATGGCCCTGTAGCAATCATACTCATCAGTAACATAATATTATTCGTAATCACATCACGTGAATTTGCTATTAATTACGAAAAATTAAAAGTTACACGTAAGTATATCTTTATTTCGTCTTTTATAATTACTTTATATATTATCCTATTAATATAAGGTATAAATACGTAAGTTTGTAATGATGGATGGATGTTCGTTACTTTTTACTCAAAAACTATTTAACGGATTTGTATGAAATTCGGTTCATGAGTTTAACCTTTTTTTTTATACCACTGAGGTGACAAACAAGCATACGGCCCACCTGATGGTAAGTGGTTACCGTAGCCTATGAACACCTGTAATACCAGAGGTATTACGCGTGCGTTGCCGACCCTGAAGAAACCTCTTTACCGCCCTTTTGAAGAACCCCATGCTGTAGGTTCTTGGTAAAACCCAGGTAGCTCATTCCACAACCTGAGTGTTCGTGGGAGGAAACATCTCTGAAACCGCGCAGTACGGTGGTACCTAACGTAACCTAACCTAACCTTGTTATTTAATATATGTAGTATATTATGTCTAAATTGAATAAATTTCTGGCCGTGCGGTCCAGTCATAGAATAGGCCATTCTTTCCATTTGTTTGTGTTGTAAGAGGCGACTAAGGAAGAGCGAGTGATAGACAGCAGCGTCTCTCTTAAAACATCTCAAAAGCCTAAAGGCAAAACCCCAAGGGAAAGGCTTATGTTCAGCAGTAGATAGTTAAAGGCTGATGTGATGATGATGATGAATAGATTTTAATGAAATATGAAAAAGAAAAGACTTGCATATTATAAATATTTTTTTCCAACAGATTTTCCTTTAGATAGTACATACTCAGAAAACAGTACGTCAGAAGATTTTGTACACCAAGGTCCCGTACTGGGTCAGATAATGCCGCGACATAGTGCTATATCACCACAGGATGAAAACTATAATTATCGTGAGATCTTGAGAAAATATAGGACAATGTAAGTAACTATTATGTACTACGTTTAAACTTAATAGTTGAATACGCCATGTTAGTATGGAAATCATTTCAATTAATACTCTTTTAAAAGAATCTAAATGTTTTCACATAATATAATATAAGAAATAAAATGGAACCTATTTTAAACCTTTCAATTTATTATTTTATTTTATTCCATGTTTCTTTAAAAAAAAGTTTAGTTTTATTAGTAGAATACTGCCTTAAAAGGATGTTAATAATTTTTATTTCATTCTGTATACGATAGTATATGTACTAAATTGAAATTTTACGTACATACTTTAGCACTTAACAATTCGAACCCAGCAGAAAAAATAAAAAAATAGATTTAAAAGTGCTTATTATTATAAATACATTTATTTGAATAAAGATGATTTAAATTTCTATTTATTCAACAGATTTCGTAAATGCTGTCTACTATCAGTCATAATGGGTCTGTCGTGGGCTCTGGAGGTGGTGTCATGGGCGGCTGGTGCTGGCTCCACTGCGGTGTCGGTGTGGTCATTGTTTGACCTCATCAATGCGCTGCAAGGGCCTGTCATATTCGCCATATTCGTATTACGGGAACCTGTCCGTTCTTTAGTATGGGTAAGTTCCTCATCGAGTCTAATATAATCAATAATTTCGTTCTGAATTGAATGTTAAGAAAATTGGTAATATACCTTTTAAAATAAGAAAATCAGATTCACAATTAGAAAAGACACTATAAAATTTGAAGATTTATAATAATTTATTTCATTTCTTTGAATACACTTAAATATTAAAGAACATGAAAAAAAAAAAACGAAAGAAAATTTAATAAATTTTAAAATTTAATTTCTTGTCATAGTTTTATTATTAACCTATGCAAATTGTCAATTTAGATTATGTTATCATTTGTACATATATATTACATCCTTGTTGATATTAATCAAACAGAAATTATATTTTTCTCAGCAAATATTTAATAAAAATCCAATTTCCTCCCCGAGCAGGAATCTAAACTCTTCGAATCGTGTAGAAGGAAAAACCAGGGCTCGGAGGAATTCACAGTGAATGAAAGGAAAAGTATCATTGGACCCAGAAAAGGAGACCATGTGTAGTGTGTGCTAAAGTACAATTTTGATAAATTGGAACAATCGAGTGAAGGCAGAGACTGATTATAGTAACAGTATTATACATTTGACGTCGGACGCGAGTGGTATGATATCAAATATTGTTTAGCACGCTTAATGGTTATTTTGTTACAAATATGAAACCGTATTCGTCTATAATATGTTTCTCTATTAAATAAGTATTAGCAAGCAATCATTGTATATTTTCTGATCAAATTTAATAAGTTAAAAATAGAACAAACAAAAGAACAATAATATAGTAATTACTTATTACATAAACTTTTTGATTTATCTATTTTATTTATATACAGTTATTTCGATTAAAATGGCAAGATTATTTACTAAATATGGCAAGTATACAAAAACGGATTTAAGACATATGTACATGGTTAGTTGTAATGGGTATACATATAACCAGAGGGAGACTTTGTACAAAAGTCGATTGCTTGGGCACCTCTGTCCCATTCGTGTTTCAACCGTGAAGCAGTTGTGTTTGCATGACTGTGTTTCGGTTTGAAGGGTGGGATATGGCGTGAATTTACAGGGTACAGAGGAATAACACCTGAGTCCTCAGGAATGGCAACCCATGGGGGGTATCATGGGTGAAACAGTATAGTCTGCTATGTCCATGGTACTGCTCATGTCTATAGGCGACGGTTACCACTTTCCATCAGGTGGGCCGTCAGCTTGTTTGTCATTCTAAGTTGCATAAAAAAAAAAAAAAAATATAGGTACGCTGAATATCTATATTCTTAGCTGAACTATCTTTCAAGGAATGTTTTGAATATATGTAATTTTTTTAGAATTAAATCGAATACACAACTGCTCCGTTAGTATGTAAAGTTAAAATAATATTTTGAAATTTTAACCTTAATATTTAAGGAAAGTTGTTTAGTTTCGTATATGCGATTATATATTGGATTTCGGCTTGGTATACCCAACATTATGACTAACTAAATATAAAAATAATATAAAATATAAAAAGCCTGCACTATAGTTCGAATTGAGTAGTAATATCAGACAGTTCTTTTGATAGGTGCTTATTAATTGTTTACGCATTACATGAAAAAAAAAAGGTTTTGTTATTTTATTAAAAATGTCTACGTTCATAAATAGAATCTCTTCTGATACCTAAATTACAAGAGTCGCTTTCGTAGGTTGCTGATGTTATACAATTATGAGTAGATATTATAGCGATCTACAAAGGCCTAATTAAGTTATTTTTAATTTATCAAACACTTTCGATTTTATATCTATGTAAGAGATCCCTGAAAATTTGTCTGTAATCAGAATAAATAAATAAATCTGAAACTTGTTTAATTCATATATTTAAATTATTTGTCATAGGTTATAATTTCAAATTAGCAACCTATGAAATATCTTATAATTATTTTATTGCATCTCATTATAAGAAACTGATAGGTATTTTAAACATAACATGAACACGAAATAAAAAAAAAATTATAACAACTTATTAATAACAACTTATTTGATATCAAACCACTCAATAGTGATATCGTTAGTAAAACGATATGAAGGTATTAAACTTCTTTCATGGTTTCATTCCTGTGATAGCGCCTTAAAAATGTTTGAAATATTTTTGTTGTTTTTATAATTTTATTTGGCTTGTACCATTATGTTAGTTAACTATTATTTAGTAATAAGATTAGATGTTTAGTATGTACAACTTTGTTTAAACAATTGTTTTGAATTTTTACTTTTTATTTCTAAGATGTTTCAACATTCGCACTAGAGTTGATTTTGATAATTTTTGTTTAAGAATTTGGCTGAATATTGCATCTTTTAGAATAATAATAAAACAATAGATCGTAAAAAAATAGGTAATTTCTATTGACTTTAAAAGATGGTAGTTCTCAATTCGGTTGTATGTTTTATTTTTAATATTTGTTACTTCATAATACCGTCAGTTGTAAATCGATTTGAAAATTTTTTTTTATCTGAAAGAATATATTTATAGTATGGTTCCATAGAAATTTTATCATTATATATATATATATATATATATATATATATATATATATATATATATATATATATATATATATATATATATATATATGATATATATATAGATAATTTTAAATTTATTTTTGTCAGTTCCTATATATGTATCTACTACATGTCTATAACAACTCTAGTTTGAATGTAACATCAATCTTACAGCTTGTTATGGCTATGGTTGTTAATAGTAAATGTAAGAAAATAAGATATTTTTGTAATTTAGGTAAAAATACGCATGACCAAGAGGTTAACGATTAAGTTAGTTGTAGACAGAATGCTGTACTCAATTTCAGTATAATTAAATCAACTATATCATATATGCATATATGGCATTATTTTAAGCTTAAATGAAGCAGATATGATATTGGTCCCATTTATTTGTAAATGTATATCATTTGTCTTTATATTTATGTTTAGATCTATATCTTAAATTATATTCAGTTATATTGTAGTTCCATGTCTTTTTGGTAATTAATCATTGCAAATTGTTCTTAAAACATTAAGAAAGTATGAAAATCATATAGCATATAAGGTTCACACTCCGCTCGCTTCAAAGTTTAAATTCAGTCATACAGTATAAATTTATATTACGAGTAATAGTATTAGAATATGTGTTTTATATTTCAATATTATTTCTATTATTACTATTTCGGTTATGAAAACTCCATATTTTAATCTAAATAACTATAGAGAAAGGATTTTTTAATTATCAATGAACAGATAACCACTTACTTACCTCACACGTGAAGTATAGATTACTTACGTGATTCTTCTATATCTCCTTAAACATAAATGTCACTTACCATCAGGTGAGTCGCATGCTCGTTTGTCCCTGGGTTATAAACAAAATATCAAAATATTACACTTATTAATTTCAACACCAATAAAAAGCACGCTGTTTTGTTTAAAACTATTCGCTGGCCATTTTTGTGGATATTTTTTGATATTCAGTCCACGCTCCATCTGAAAGTGCGTATATGTAGCTATGTAATTTAAGTTGTGCAGATATCTTTAATAATAACATGTTGTTAACGTGTGCGTGTGCTTATTTACAAGCGAGTCAAATCATGGCCGTGACAAATTGAGTGTTCAATTGTTGATTATGTCGGCTGGAGCCTTGATGTTTTTCGGGTTCACTGTTTCTACATAATAATGGCTCGTAATGATACAACATGACTAAGCATTTAATTCCTCATATTTATATTTTGCACACTTATTTGTAAATATGTGCATTTAAGAAATAAAAACAACATGGAAAAAAAGAGTTAATTGCCATTAATCGTAGTATAGAGCAAAATGTTATATACCATACTAGTTGTCCGATCCGACTTCGCGCGGGCAGATAGAAGGTTTCTATAGGTGAAAGCGTTTTTAAAATTTGGTTGAGAAGTTTTTTAGTTTATTCATTACAAACAAACAATCAAATCTCTTTAGTATAGATGAATTAAATTTTTCCATCATTTTTTTATTTATGTACTTTAATAACAATAATTAAATAATTAATTTAACAATTTAATCAGTTGCATTTTGGATTGAGGCTCAAATTTTTAACTACAATACTTATCCATTTATATATTTGTCCAGATTTTCCCAAATGACTACAGCGTGGGTTCGTCAAAAAAGGGGTAAAGAGTTTACTTAGGATCGATAACACGCGTAATGCCCCTAGTATCGTAAGTGTTCATAGGCTTCAGTAACAGCTTACCATCAGATGGGCCATATGCTTGTTTGCCACCTCAGTGGTGTAAAAAAAATATAGTCCTGTTCGACTCGCACTTACCTTCGTATTCGTTGGAATCGCGTGGATGTCGAAAATACTCGCATTTTTTTAATAAATCATATTTATTAAAAAAATAAAGAAAACAATTTGAAGTATGTTAGATATAAATCACAGATGGTTATCATAAATTAAATTAGTAAAGTTAATTAAATCAATTATTTCTCATTAGTAGTGTCTACAATTATATTGTATATATTCGTTAGTTATTTCCAACGCAATATTCACTTGATTTTGTATTCATTTTAATAATTAAATTTCTAATTTAAACATCAAATTTATTATGTATTTCTAAACAAATATTACATTGAAACCTTCAAGAAAATAGCAAATTCATTTCTAAAAGGTCGACAACAAAACTGCTATTTTCCCCTGTTGCGAGTGCTTATCACTTATCATCAGATGGACTGCATGCTCGTTTGTTCTCTCAATTATAAAAAAAAAAAAAAATTAGGCAAAATAAGGTTTTCTATTTTCAGATTTTAAGTCAACAACTCGTTGTTACTACATTATTCGCTCTGCCAATGAGTATTTGAAAATAAAATATATTGTAAAATATTGTATTTTTGATTGGACTACATTTCATAAGGGGTAGACATTTCAATATTTGTAATATACGGCTTATTTGCGGAAATAATAAAACAGGCGTTTACAGTGTAAAGTTATTTATCTTAATCTTAAATGATGACTTTAGATTCTAATCAAAGTATTAAACAAAATATAAACGAAAAAGAAAATGTTCTATCCTTGTCATTGACACTATACTATAAAGAAGGTAGGTACGATTATTTATTAAAAACAAAACCATAGTAAATTTAGTTATTATTTTTTCATAAAATGGATGGTAATCAATTACTTACTGTTATAAAATGATTAATGGATATTATTATAATAATTTTAATAGAAAGAACGTGCCAAATCGTGTTCTTGTATTTTTAAGTATTATTACATGCACAGAAATAACAAGTATGTATCTACCTATTGATTATAAGCTGATATAGGTATACATATTCCTTTAATTGATTTATGAATCCAATATACTAAAATTATATCAAAAGAAATAGTTATTGAATTATTATTTTGTATAGTTTAGCTACTATTTAGTAGGTACGAAATTTTTTGTGGAGAAACACAGAATTACTAATATTCGTACCTACTATAAAGCATAAAAATATGTTTATTTTTATGTATAAAAGCCCTTCAAAATCTCCCTTACTAGTGGTTGTCTGTTTATTGTTAACATATTCTTTTAATTAAAATATGAATTTAATAAACCAACAACTATATCAATAGAACAAGTTATTGGAATTATTACTTTGATGATTCCATGATGGAGATATCTACTAGAGAAGCCCTTTAATATTTTCCCTAATATAGTGGTTTGCTTTTCACTGTTAATATGTTTACATACATGTTCCATTATATATATATATATAATTGCAGTATTCTATTTAGAACAATACGTATATTGTTATGTTAAGCAATCATTTCATAGTAAATATTCTTTACAGAATGAACTTAGTTTCATCGATTTATATAAATAAATATTTGTTGCTGAAAAAATTGAAGAAGGTTACGGTTTAATATTTTAGAGCCTTGATACACGGACAGTTTTCAATAATAATAATAAATTAAATAATTACTCTTTATAAGTGCAATATTATAATATTTTTTGGCTACTGTGTTTATTTTATAATGTTTTCATATTAGACAGTAGCAGGTATTTTGTAAATTTATCATTACTATGCTGAATTAAGTTGGTAATATTTCAGAATTTTGTTATTCGTGCATAAACTGTGACAGGATTTGGTTGATATTTGATCAAAAAAATAGGATATGAATTTCTAGATGACATTATGGATTAGTGTATATCAGATTGGATAACGTAAATGCAGCTTTACATAATTCTGTTTGCGACGGTGTACAAGTTAATTCTCACTACGAGAGAGCAGTCCGTGTAGTAAGACTACTAAAATAAAAAATAAATTAAATTCACGATTTGAACTTAACGCAACGCGATTACAGGTAAATAGTACCTATATATCTGATTTCTATTGGCAACGTTTCGACCACTATGTCGTGACTAATACTGCAAGTGTGTACTGCACAGCACTGAACACAGCAGTGAACGGCGTCTTCATTTGGCACCTCGCGCAGTTCCTTCTGCCACCCTTACTTTATCACTACCGCTATGACAATGACGTGGTGTATGGGTATGTAGGTACTATTTACCTGTAATCGTGTCGTCTTAAAATTCGATTGTGAATTTGATATTTGTGTGAACAACGTGAAAGTTTAAAATTAAAAGCACATGTGCCATAAAATGTATGCATATGCACATCTATCGCAAATACTTGTGGTGCATTTCCTTTCAAATAAAACTAGTCATAATATATTAAAATAAATGTTATAATAAATAAATCCTTTATTTATAATCTAAGTTAATATTATTCTAATTATAATTATTTAAATATTAAATAAACTAAATTATCTCCTATCAAAGCATATAACGTTCATTTCTACAATTTATAAAAGCACGTATGTTCCTCAAAGTATATTTCCAAATATGTTATTAATGTTTGATTGATTGATCATAAAGTGAATCCGGATAAGACTGTTTGTATATGGATGAAACAAGAATACGTAATAAATTTATTAAAATGTCATTATAATATATATGTAGATAAGGCCAACTGCGTAATATCTGCTAATTATATCCATTGTGCCGTAACTGTATTAGGTTTTTTTTTTATCTTTTTTGGGTCACGTTACTATATATTATTTGGAAATCAACAAAAATTACGACCCCACGACAATAATTAGTGTTATAGAGTGACCTAAATTTTATTACGGCCTAGTATAAAATTATTCCTTTTTTTTTGTATGTATTACGAAATAGCATCGAATCTTTGTTTGGCTCTATTAATTGTATTAACTAACTATTAGTTTGTGTAAATTGTAACTTATTTAGTTAAGTTAGTGTACATGTGTGTAACTATGTATCATAATATTGTTAAATGTTGATGCGGATTTTTAAGTGAATGACAATTTAAAATGATGTATATTTGTCTATTTTGCAAAACATGACGTTAAATAAACAAGCTTTATAAATATTATGTTTTAATTTTATTACCTATTACGTTGTACACGAATTTTTGTTTCTGTATGTTCTATTTACCTGAATTATATCTATTTACCTCTATTTATACGTGAGCAGTGTTCTAAAATTGGATGAAATGTACATATGTCTATATGTAAGGATAGACGTTTTTGTAAAATTGTAAAATAAAGAAACAGGTACTATTTACCTGTAAAAACTTTTCCATCGCGTTAAGTCCCGATTGTGTATTTAAAAACATGTGTAAACAACGCGAAAGTTTAAAATTAACATTTATATGAGTAGCTATCGCAAGTGAATGTACTTAGCGGGCTAATATTTAGCTCTATGAGTATAAAGGTAAAATAAATTCAGAATCGAAATTCAGAATGTAAAAATTTCATGGAATTTACACAATTGCTCATATTTTGTTCTTTTATTGTTTAAATTGCGATGATAAAGTTGTAGGATTTCATGCCGCGTTCAATTGCAGGAATAATTACGAAAATGCCCGGAATTTTTGAAGTCACTTAGCAAATTACTTTCAGGAATTACATTAATTTTGTGACATGTAATATACATATGTTTATGTGTCAAATTAAATAACATTAATTGAAAGCCTTATTTGGTTATGTAAAATTATAATTAATATTTCATCAAGTTATTACACCCAGTTATGTATAACATTCTAGAAACGAATAATTAATTCCTGCAAGAGTATATATAATGTAATGCCAAATAATTTTTGAATCAAGAATTAATGTTATGCCTCTACCCCGGCTTATTCCGCCGTCTCAATTGGCATTTCCAATAATAACAGAGGGAGCGGAACGGGCGGAATGAGGGTGGCGGAATTTCCGCATTCGCTCGTGGACTAATCTCCCGGAATTCCGGATGAATGCGGAGAGATTCAGATCGTCACTAGCAGCCAGTCGCGAATGGAGAGCCAACTGGTTTTTTTTTAATTTGGTGAATGCACCTCACTTGAAGACAGGTAAGGTATTTGAAGAGGTACTTGAAATCTATATAACAGCCATAATTCGGGAGGGCGTCAAGCGTAGGTACAGCGGGAAGTAGCCAAGTGCGACTCGTTAATTATTTGATGAGGGTTGCGTGTTAATTGGATTCTGTGGGTCGCAAAATAATTTTTACTTCCTTTACCAAGTATTTAGTTTTAATTAGATGTGAGTATATTTAAAATTATTATGATCTTCAACTTTTTTATACAAAAAGTGTCTATTTTAAAAAGTTTATACATAACGCACATAATATTATTTCTATGCAGTATTCAGATCCTCGTAGAAACATGTTCTCTACGTTACAATATTGCCTGGAGAATTTCCGTAAAGGATGTTCAGGCATGTCGAAAACAGCTTTAGAATGTAGTGAAGTAGACGTGAAAGGGCTTGCAATATCCAACGAAATTTAAGGACGATAGACGACAACGAATGATACGAGCATATATCATTGCGCGTGGGAATACTTGTTTGGATTTGAATTTGGATTTTCTCTTGTCTATATGTTATTGGCTTTATAATATATTTTGCTACTTTTATGAAGAGTTGTTAATAAATTGTAAAAATCATTATAATAAATATTATCTGCCACTGTTTATTCAATTAAAAATAAAAGTTTTTAAAGTAAAGATAGATTCTAGATATTCTTTATTACCAACAACAATGTTGTATGTAATGTGTGCAAATAAAATATATAAATAAATAAATTTTGCTGCTAATAGGTGCCGCCGCAGCAAATATACTGCGCTGATTTTCAGGTGGCTCCTTAACTCATCATTTTTAGGTTATCACTAAATAGATAATATTATATCTATTATATGCATGTACTATTGGTATCTAATTAAAGGAATAGTGAATGAATTTCCAAAGTTACTTGAGGAGTACCATAACAACACTTTATTGGAGTGTAATCAAGTTACTTATGAGGAAACATCTTATCACTTACTAATAAGTAAGTAACATCAATTAAAACAATAATAACACAATTAAATTAATAATGGTTTACAGATTATAAACAAAACGTAACCAATTCCATTCATTATTTCTGCATTACACATTCTCATCAGAATGTTTATTAAATCACCCTTTCAAAACAAACAATGATCACAAACTTAGACAAGCCGTGAAATATTACTCCTCATAGAGGTTTTCGTGAGGGTGAGACGGGCCCGGGTGAGCCGTGGTGCTGTTTATAACGCAAAGTGTGATTGATGGGCTCTTATCTGCCGCTGCACGGGGATCTCTACCTTGAAATATGGACCGACACGTTGCATATTTTGGGGATTAAAATAAGAAAGAGTGAAAGCGTACATTAGCTGATATTGGGGTAACACGTGCTGCCTGTTTTCAGATTAGCAGGATTGGGTTAATGGACATTTTAGGTTTGTGTGGTTTAAATATGGAATTTGTTTGTGGACGAAAATATTATGGAAAACGCGTTGGCCATTATTGCTGAGCTGTTATTGGATACCTATTATTCCTACAAAAATATTTATATATAACAAGTTTTACTCGTGACTTCGCTCGCGTGAGCGAAACATATTGATTAATCGGTACAAAATAGCTTATTCTTCTAGCGCATTCTTCATTTCAAATACTAAATGTATCTATGCTAAATTTTATAACTCCAATAATAATGTACTGTTATAGAAATGGCAACGCATGAGGGAGGGCGGGTATCATGGGCAAAACAATTTCCATCAGGTAGGCCGTGAGCTTGTTTGCCATTCTAAGTTGCATAAAAACATATTTTAATTATACTTAGTGAAATTTTAAGGTAAATAAGAATAACTTACACTTAGCTAAGCCGATAAACGTCATTCTGCACGTCGCAAGCTACATTGGATATATTGATAAAGAAAAATGAATAGAAAAAATTGAATGTTTTGCATAGTTTACACATATTTAAGATTCACAATTAGCACCACGTCGAAACGCTGAGTCTTGCTAGGACCATGACGTGATGTAACCAGCGTCGAAACGTTGGCGATAAAAATTAGGCATGTAGGCACTATTTACCTGTAAACGTCTCGTGTTAAGTCCAGATTATGAATTAATAATAAGAAAAATAAAGTTTGTTACGTTTTCCCGGATTTTTTATTCTAATTTTCTTTTCATTAGAATCTTTCTCGGACTTCAACGAATAAAAAAAAAGGATTAGGTAAATAGACCTAGCTATTTTTAGATTATTTACATAGACAAACAGGTAAAATTTTCTAATATTATCCCAACTTTAGACAGATTTATGTTGGATTAAATTGAACAGTTATAATGCTTTGAATTTTTTCAAATATTTTCAAATTTGACACATGTCAATTCCAATCTTCTAAATACGGAGTTTTATTCGAAAGCTTATTAATATTCTATCAAAATATATAGTTGGTAAATTGGTCGTTCCTCATAATCATTATTCGTACCAAATTGTATCAAAATTTAATCACGATATAAAAATATTATTTTTGTTGATCGTACAGTCGAACAAACAGTGCCATAGATGTCTGTAGAAGATTAGCTAATAAATTATTTAGAACGGTCAATTATCCGCAAGTTCCCCTAATCGATGGCGACGAAGTTTGGATTTGTTCCCGCTTACTACATTAGCGATATAAGCAACCGTCCCCGACCCCTACTGAGGAAATACACATATGATTATCTGTTTCAATAAAGCTATAACGACGTAAGTAATGCAATAATATAAGAATATAAAAACTGTTGGTATTTGGTCGTCTTTATTTTAAAGGACATTTGTGTCATGCCTGTGAAGAAACGAGACAGCAAATGTGTCTTTTTTCTCGTGCCTACAGTACTTAAATATATTCTAAGAAATGAAATCCTTTGCTTTTCAGAAATGTGTGTAACTTATAATAAGCATAAATTGTGACTAAAAGTACTTTATATATTAATACTAGTTGTGTTTAGTTTCGCCCATGTGAATCAGTGTCTAAAGTATTTTATATTTTAAGTTAGGATATATAACCTATCCGTGTACCAAATTGCATTTAAATTCATACAGTAATTTTTGTGTGAAAGAATGAAAAAAACATCCGTCCATACATTCACAGAAACTTTAGCGTTCACAATAGTATATATATATATATGTATAGGATCTGAATTAGGATGTCTGTTATTAATTTTTTATTTAATCATGATTAAGTCAAAGAATAAAACATTTTTTTTAAATAATTATATAATAATAAATCCACTCTTAAGATTAATTTTAGCAGCATCTCCGATAGAAGATTATAGCTGATTTTATATTCTAGGGGATCATGAACTTAATTTTTCTTATTTTTAAGAAATACTTACACTTTTTTTTTCAATGGATGAAAATGGAATAGTATCCGCCTGCTCTATCGGTATACGTGGGTGGGGTACCAGTGAGGGATGGTCATTGATATTTATTATTTCTTAAACTACAAGTAAACTTCAAGTTTGACTTTATTACAATAAGGATAGATGGGACTGGGAGATAAAATTTTGTTTTACAATAATTACCTATACTCGTATTTCTTTAAGACTTTTCTGTATTCATATTGGAACTAAACCTAAGTAACAATGTACCTAAAACTTTACTGTATAATGTAAGATGTAATACTGTAGGATGTAATAATGCAATAAGTGAATGAACTGTCTTGAAGTGTCCAAAATAAAGTTAAATAAGATTGGGACTATACTAACTGGCAAACAAGAGCGGTCAGTCGTACACAGTTACCCATGTGAGAGAATTTTGTCCCATCATCGATCATTTTGTGTGTACGTGAGCAATTTGTAGTGCTACATATAAATCTTGTTTTAGCTACTATTGTTGTTTTGTACGATTCTTTTACATTTTTACTTCTTGGTTGATCTTACCTTCTCAGTCATTAACTAGTCACTGCTCTATATAGACGTCTCCCTATTGAGAGGTTTTGCCAGAAGTTGCCATGCTTGGTAGATTGGCAATCGCAGTTAGGCTTTGGAGATGTTTTAAGAGGGACGCTGCTGTCCATACCTCGATC